GGTAACACTTTACATTAAGGGTCGCTAATCAATCATTAAATATATAATAATCAACTATTAGTTTCCCATTATTTAGTTATTAGTTACTCTTCATTAAGCATTAGCTATTACTTAGTAATTGATTAAGCACTTATCAGTTAGTAATTAAGTACACTGTTGATAAGTTAGTTTGTTGTTAGTTTGTGGCTTACTTACTCGTTATCTGTGTGCTAACTGCTGCTTATTACATTGTTAATTAACTAATAAGTATTTTTCTTCATATATAGAAGTAACGTGATAACTTACTAGCACCTATGTGTTAATCCCGCTAATTATCTGTTAATTAACTTTCCATCACCTCCATATATTCAGTTGCTTCACTTTTCTCACTTTGGTTCATTAAAGATGCTTATGGTCACATCTGACCGATCTGATCTGGCATATCTGTACTCATATCTGGTAGGAGTGCATGTAAATTTGGGCATAAATGCTGGATATGTGGCTAATTAACCAAAACTATTATCAACATAATCTGTAACAGCAAAAATAAGAACAACAATAGAAGATTTCAATAATACTAATTTGTGTGCATGACAGTCCAGTACAAAAGTGGATGTACTTACTTACTTACTACATGCACATTGATATAAACAAGTGCTGCAACTATTTCATGTTCCATTTAAAGACACATTACACTGTGCTTTTGTTGTCATACACTGCGATAATACAGCGTTTATTTTAGGGAATTAATTACACTAAACAATCACTCTACTATGTTAACAACACTGAGTATTTTGTTTTATTTCACATTTTATTTTTTCCAGTTGTTTTCATTTTAATACTATTAAGTTTCGTCAGCAGGGGAGGAGTGCACTCACTGCTGGACACCAAACTCCACCCACGAGCACGGCCATTAGCTTTCATGCCAAACACTGCCATTTTATTGGCTGGCTACCGAAACATCTGCACGAATTAGGGTGTGCTTCATGTAAATGATATGTAAATGAGGTGCTGGTTGGCTGGTTTCATGCACTGAAGCTGATTTATCATTTATGCTCAAATCTCCACTTGTTTCCACATCGTACAAAATTGTTATGAATCAGACGCAGAGCAGTTCATACCGTATAAAAGGCAAGAAAAAGGTGTTCTTTTTTTACGTAACTTTGATGATTAATGGGCCCTTTTCACAAGATTCGTGATTACTTCTGGTTTAAGCATTAGCAGGGTAAAACTCACTTCCTCTCCATAGAGCTACTGCAGATGCGCTGTCAGAGTGTTTAGTAGTGAACTGTAATGCTCAAACACTGAGCTCCAGCAGCTGTACTGTAGTTTTCCTGCACGGCTGTGACAGTGAGAGTAAGAAGTGGACGGAGGCGCTGATTTAACTGTAAACAGAGCTAAAATGCTGTATGTTGTTTTTACTGCAGTTTTGCTGCAGCTGCTTCACATCACGCCGTCTCTGTGTCTTTGTACAACACGCCAGCGATTTCGGTAATCTTCTGTTTTCAAAAGAAAGAAGAGCTTTTATATGTAGCATGAATGTTATATACTCTGTTTATTTTAAGCTAGCTATACTGGCTAGAAGCTACTGCTAACCAAACTAGCCCGGCTAACATGAAGCAGCTTTTTCACATGTTTTTTTTTTTTCAGCTAGGAGTCGCATTTTTGACTGAGCAGTGAAAGGTGGATGTTTTCTGAAGTGCTGCTTCAAAAATTGCCATGAAATTATAAGAATAATGCTGTTTGGCAGATCGCTAACATAGCCAGCGTTAGAGCTAACTTAGCTTTAAAGTTTGATGCTCATACGAAGCTGGTGCTCCTCAAACTGCTAATGGTAGGCTAGCTAATTAGCGACTGTAGCCTGCTAGCCTACCATAAGCTAATACAGTTTAAACGAGGTCTGTAAAATAGACTTTACATGTAAAAGTTTTTGTTTGTGTTTATGTCTGATGTCACTGCCATCATGTAGCTAAATGTGTCACAGAACCTGCTCCACGTTAGCCGGCTGGTGGCAGCAGCTAATGAAACCTAACTAGCTTCCTTATTTTGGGAACACAGCTACAGTTAGAAATGGCTTCTAGCGTTGCTAGCTAACCTAGCTACAGCTAAACAACGTCTACCAAATTCATACTACACAGAAGAACTTTAATTTCTTTTGAAAACAAAAATATTACAGAAACCGCTGGCATGTTGTACAACTACAGAGACACTGCTTGATGTGAGCAGCTGCAGCAGCAGTAAGCAGGGCTGCACCACACACAGCATTTCAGCTGTGTTTACAGTTAAATCAGTGCTTCCATTCACTTCCTTTTGTCATGATAGTGCACGAAAACTAACATATGTCTGTTGTAGCTCAGTATTTGAGCATTATAGTTCACTGCTAATGCTTAATCCGGACGTAATCGCGACTCTGTTAAAAGGGCCTATGGCCATTAGATCTTTAAACTTTGACCATTAATTACTTCTTAAATTCCACTTAATCAACCATTCATTGCTTCTTAAATTCCTCCTACTTAATCATTAATTACTGATTTTGTGTTGTCACTTTACTTGGAGGGACACAAAAGCATTAATTAATGGTTAAGTAAGAGGAATTGAAGAAGTAATAAAGATCTAATGGCTGTGGGCCCTTTTCACAAAGAGTCGCGATTACGTCCGGATTAAGCATTAGCAGTGAACTATAATGCTCAAATACTGAGCTACAACAGACATATGTTAGTTTTCGTGCACTATCATGACAAAATGGCCATTAGATCTTTACATTTTGACCATTAATTATTTCTTAAATTCCTCTTACTTAACCATTAATTACTGATTTTGTGTTGTCACTTAAGAGGAATTTAAGAAGCAATGAATGGTTGATTAAGTGGAATTTAAGAAGTAATTAATGGTCAAAATGTAAAGATCTAATGGCCATTAATCATCAAAGTTACGTAAAAAAAAACACCTTTTTCTTGCCTTTAATAAGGTATGAACTGCTCTGCGTCTGATTCATAACAATTTTGTACGATGTGGAAACAAGTGGAGATTTGAGCATAAATGATAAATCAGCTTCAGTGCATGAAACCAGCCTACCAGCACCTCATTTACATATCATTTACATGAAGCACACACTAATTCATGCAGATGTTTCAGTAGCCAGCCAATAAAACGGCAGTGTTTGGCATGAAAGCTAACGGCCGTGCTCATGGGTGGAGTTTGATGTCCAGCAGTGAGTGCACTCCTCCCCTGCTGACCAAACTTAATAGTATTAAAATGAAAACAACTGGAAAAAATAAAATGTGAAATAAAACTAAATACTCAGTGTTGTTAACATAGTAGAGTGATTGTTTAGTGTAATTAATTCCCTAAAATAAACGCTGTATTATTGCAGTGTATGACAACAAAAGCACAGTGTAATGTGTCTTTAAATGGAACATGAAATAGTTGCAGCACTTGTTTTTATCAATGTGCATGTAAAGTAAGTACATCCACTTTTGTACTGGACTGTCATGCACACAAATTAGTATTATTGATATTTTCTATTGTTGTTTTTATTTTTGCAATTACAGATTATGTTGATAATAGTTTTGGTTAATTAGCCACATATCCAGCATTTATGTCCAAATTTACATGCACTCCTACCAGATATGAGTACAGATATGCCAAGATGAATGTGATGAATAACAAAACCGTCAGTGAATTTGTGTGCGCTCATCTTACGGTCAGATGTGACCATAAGCATCTTTAATGAACCAAAGTGAGAAAAGTGAAGCAACTGAATATATGGAGGTGATGGAAAGTTAATTAACAGATAATTAGCAGGATTAACACATAGGTGCTAGTAAGTTATCACATTACTTATTTATATGAAGAAAAATACTTATTAGTTAATTAACAATGTAATAAGCAGCAGTTAGCACACAGATAATGAGTAAGTAAGCCACAAACTAACGACAAACTAACTTATCAACTAACAGTGTACTTAATTACTAACTGATAAGTGCTTAATCAATTACTAAGTAATAGCTAATGCTTAATGAAGAGTAACTAATAACTAAATAATGGGAAACTAATAGTTGATTATTATATATTTAATGATTGATTAGCGACCCTTAATGTAAAGTGTTACCGAGGAGGCTTTAGTACAGTACGCTTCACTTTACTTAGAGCGGACAAATACAACTTATGAGCTCTTATAATTTGTTATGATCAGTACTTATAATGTATTATGTTAACAATTCATAATGCATCATAAACATGGCAATAACATATGCATTTTTATAAATATTTATAGCTATGTTTATAATGTCTTATGAATGCATTATAACATGTTATGGATGTGTTTATAGATGCTTACAAAGGTAACATTCATAGAAAGTGTTACCAAATTTTGTATTATGAGGATTATAAATATTTATAACCATGTTTATAATGCCTTATGAATACACTATATATATTCATAATGTTTATAATGTCTTATGAATGCAATATAACATGTTATGGATGTGTTTATAGATGCTTACAAAGGTGACATTCATAGAAAGTGTTACCATAGATACCATATGATTTTAAGCCCGTTAATTTACTCACAAAGTTTTCACCCGGTATCAAAAGTATTAGGACAAAAAGTCTCTCGTTCCAACTCATTAATAGTTTGACCATAGCACAATTATATATATATATATATATATATATATATATATATATATATATATATATATATATATATATATATATATATATATATCTTATTAATATTTAGAAAAGTCAGAAAGAAATCCTCTTTATTCAATATCTAAAACACTGATGTTGCATTGCATTTTAATTGCTTTTAAACTTTCTATCTTTCAAATATTCAAACCTTTGCAGCTGGACCAAATGAGTTCTTGAGAGAAGTCCTTCAATTCAGCATAAACAACATTCAGATGGATATCGACCTTATCCAGATTTCAAAGAATAACAATGGTACTGTAGCAATGTTTGAATCTATGTACTCAACTGCTGACAAAGTTGGAGCTAATGTGTTAATCCAGGGTCAATTCTAAAGATAAATGCAAGACATGAATGGCGTTACATTATTAAATCTTCTGTTACTACAGACTAACAAAGTGGTAGTTACAGAAAGGTGTGAATAATTTTTACAATTTCTTATTTGTCAAATTTTTGTTCCCCTTTACTGCAATAACAGCCTGTACTTTTCTGGGAAGACTTTACACTATATATTGCATTCAGCCACAATTTTTGTATTTTTTTTTTTTTTTTGTGGGATTCCTATCCTTTCTGCCTCAATCCTTTAAATGAGACACTGTTTTTTTCAGTAGATTTTTGTTGTTGTGCTTCAGGATCAGCAGCTGTGGCCTTCATGAGCTACACTAACTTGTCGAGTATACTGCATCCCAGCCTGTTTAACCAAACTAACGACACAGTGAAAACCATGATGTCCGCAGTGATATCAGTCACACTGCCCAGAACTGCCAACCAAACGCTCACCACACCAGTCAACTTTACTATGAAACACATTGCAGTGAGTTTGCTCAATCTCTAATTAATACTAATTAACTCTCCAATAAAAGCAGTCAAGTATAAAGTTTTATATCGCTGTTGTTGGAACAAAACCTTGTATCTCTGAAATGGTAACTTTACAGAGAAGGAAAAAAACGTACATTACTTTAAATATAAGTCCATGGAACCAGACTGTTTTCCAAGTCATTTTTCTCTTGGTCCATTAATAATGAAACTTACAAACAATGTGAAGGACAACAGGGGATTTCAAATGATGTCAAAAACTGAAAAATGACAAAAATGAGATGCAATGTTTTGTTCCGACCGCAGTGATATGGTAGTTTTTCATTCTGTTTTATCAATTTTGAGTTCTGCAAAATGCTGTTTAGTTTTTTGATGAAATTGTTGTTTCAGATTTTTGTCTAACAGTTTCCACTTTAACACATCCTCAGGTTTTTTAGCCTTCACTGAAAGTGCAGCATAACTTATTATTTCAATCTGGCCAGTCTTTCACTATTATTATGCAGAGAATGTACAGTAAGAATATACAATAACTTAAGCTGCTGTTTATGTGGACTGATAATCAAGTCTCTTTGTTACATGTACAAACAGGAAAAGTTTGGTGGCTGTAGGTGCACATTTTCCTTTTTGCCCTTTTTTAACAAAAAAAAAACAAGAAATTATGATGAATGATAACTTAAGTACTGTATAAATACAAGTGCTTGGTTGCCATTTGTCAGTTTAAATCATGTAACCTGCTGTAGAGATCCCACCACAGCCATAGAAATAGAAGCTTAGAAAATTAAAATTCTTTTTCTTTAAGATGCAAGAAAATCAAAAGTATTTCTTGTTGGGTTTTCTGGAGCAAGCAATGGTGAATTAAAGCATCCTGTATCTGCTTTTGCAAAAGTATCTGGTCCTAGAAGGACAAGATGCAAACTATTTACCGCTTTCACCCACTCATCAGCTCCCATAGGTTATATTAGTACTATACGTTTGAGGAATAGGGTTCTACTCAGCTCATTTACCCTTCTAGGTCCACTGCTGCACCTGTAGCAAGGGGCCTCTGGAGTTGTCAGCCAGCCTTCAACATATAAATCAATATTTCCCATTTCAAAATCAAAGTGAACTTTATTGTCATTCAGCCTATAAAACAAGCAGTCCACAGCTGAACGAGATTGTGTTTCTCCAACTGCGATGTGCTAAAATATACATACAGTAAATATGCCATAAAAGCAACTGCACATAGACATACTAGACAGCATAGACAGACATAAAATAAACAAATAGAGAGAGAGAAAAAGTGAATATGAAATTGCTCCCTCTAGCCAGGTCCTTATCTGCTTCACAGATGGCTTGCTTCTGGTTAACAGGGGCCTGTATGCTGGAATTAGCATAGCATATGAGAGAGATGGTCTGTGTTTCCAACAATGCCTGTTTGATGTTTGTGTAAACCCTATCTAGTGTGGTTTCCCCCCTGGTAGTAATGTGGTAGTACTGACCTCAGGTTGGCCTGACTGATAAGCATCCTAACTTATTTGGAAATGGGGTTGTATCTGTGTTCTGAAATGTTTTAGTACTGTATGATATGGACACCACAGTCTCAAATATACAATTATCTCTGTTCCTTTTGTCTAGGAAATTGATCCTAAAGGTACACTTTCCTGTGTGTACTGGAAGAACACTGAATGGGTTGAAGATGGGTGTTCCCTTCTCCAGACCAACAACAGCCACTCTGTTTGCTCCTGTGTTCACCTGTCAACCTTCGCTCTCATCATGCAAACTGAGGCACTTGCGGGAGAAGATGTAAGTTCAAATAAAGATGTGAAGAAATGTGCCAAAAGTTTGGTAACAACAACATCATAGTAGGTTCATAAAAGTCCAATCTAGTTTAACTGTAAAACACTCAAACATGAGAGGGACACACAGGATTATTATTTTATTTTTCTATGTTTTTTAGTTAATATATTGTAGCATAACTTTGTATTAACATTTGTAGGCAATTGCTATTTTTTTTTTTAATAGTTTGCTGAGGAAATTGTGTTTACTTCTTTTACTTTCAAAAACAGCGAAATATGTAATTCTGAACCTGGGATGCTCAGATTTTGGATGGATTCCTGTTTCTGCAAATTACAAATGTCTTGTTACTGTTTACAGTATACTAAACATAATTATGCACAATTGATCATTGGTTGCAAATGTAGGAGAGTAAACAGATATAAGCTCATCTTCACTTGCAGTTTTTAGCAGAAAAGCAAAACTAGCTATAAATGAGTTAATTATGGGCTTTTTCAGAGCGATCCTGTGATAGATGTCCTTGACACCGTGGCTGTGGCTGTAGGGCTGGTGTTCCTGAGCTTGACCCTGTTGACCTTTGCTCTTTGTCATCGAAACCCAAGAGTGACCAACACAGCTCGGATCAATCTCTGTATAAGCCTGCTGCTGGCCCACCTTCTCTTTCTGCTCACACAGAAATTTCTGCATAACATACGCAGTCAGCAGGTGAGTAAAATGGTTAGGTATCCTAGCTACCCTAAGGTGTTAGGCAGCTTGGATGTATTTGCTAAGTCTATTTAGCTGACTATATAAGTATCCTTATCAATCAGTGACAAAACAAATTCTATTTATTTATAGCAAAGTTGTAGCAATTCAGCACATTCTCTCCAAACAGTTTAATTTCTGTTATTTCTTAGATAACCCTTTCTTAACCAGGTAAGTGTGAGGTACAAACTCTAAAGTATTAGGTAATTATTTTAGGTGACAAGATAGTAAGAGTAGTCTAAATTAATTACACTGAAATGTCTCACCGGTTCTATGTATTACCCAGCTAAGTGTGAGGTAGAAACTCCAAAGTACTAGGCAATTATTTTAGGTGACAAGATGGTAAGAACCAGGATCAACTGCAGAAGTGCAAGCCGATTGGCGAAATGACATCCATGAGGTAATTGTGATTGACACACCCAGCAACCTATAAGTGAGTAAGACAGCCAAAAAAGCAGAAGAGTGACCGAGAAGGGAGAGAAAACAAACACCGGCATGCACAGGCACTGACTTAACAGTAAATAATGTGCAACAACTACTTGAAAATGTATAAATTCTATGAAAAAAACAGCAAGAGTTTAAAAACGGACAGTGGAGAAACAGTGGAAGAAAACAGCAAACACTCCTACCAGCAAAAACAGGAGCTACATCACAGTGATAGAGCTCAGGCTCATCACAATAAAGGGAGAGGCAACATCCAGAGGGCAGCACACAGAATGACAGAGAGAGAAAAAATAAGTGTATACATCAAAATTGATCATCTACATATTTGTCCAGAATCAAGGATGGGTCACCAAGTGTGTTTATTAATAATGTTAAGCTGCAGTCACACTTCAACATTGCAGTTTGATGTGCCTTGTGAAATAGGTATGACCAAGCCTGGACCAAATGATTGATGTCCGTGAAATCCTCTGTTTTGGTACAGTTAGCAATCTCGTTAAATCACAAATCCTAAATATTAAATAACGGAAAAGAAAGACTGTAGTGGATAGATGGTTTCATGACAGCATTTCTAAGGTAGTAGTTCTAAATTTTTTCACACCAGTGCTCTCAGTGTGAACTATTCCAGAGAGTAGTTGTGTAAGTGAAGCTGTACTACACACTCAGTTGTAGCTCATACGTTTGAGTCCTGTGTTCTGTCTCTTTGTTTCATACATCTCTCTCTCTCTCTCTCTCTCTCTCTCTCTCTCTCTAGCTACTGTGTGCAGTGCTGGCAGGCATGCTGCACTTCTTCTTTCTCTCTGCTTTTGTGTGGATGTTCATTGACGCTGCTCTACTCTTCATCTCCATGAAGAACCTAACAAAGATCCGATCAAACGAAAAGGCAGGTCTTCTGTGGAAATTGCTGGTTGTGATTGGATACGCTGTACCTCTTTTTGTGGTGGGTGTGTCTGCTGGAGTTGTTCCTGGTGGATATGGCAGTGAAAGGTGAGTGTGGATAGTGGGAAGGGTTTTATCAAATAGGGGTGAAATTCAGTTTATGGCAAATTGTATGTAGATCTTACGATTTGCGAGAAAAATGTTACTTAGAACAGGTTAAGTGTTGAATAAATGTGTGTGTTTCTTTTCAGGTGCTGGCTAAAGACAGGCTTTTTGTGGAGTTTTCTGGGGCCTGTTGCTTTCATTCTTACAGTAAGTACTACAAACCTGAAAACTTAGTAAACATGTAGAAGTAAGTATTTTGAGGATGATGTTTGGTTTTTGAGAGCAACTTTTTTGGTATAATGTCAATCTTCTATTAACAATACTGTTGTTTTTTTAGGCAAATGAAGGACCATGTAGCTATACCAACATGTTGAAGGCAGTGCTAAAAGTCAATATATATAAAATGTAATCTAAAGAAGAGTTTACTAAATTGGTTAATAAAGATTAATGAATGTGAGGTAGTTATTGGGGGTATAGAGTCAGAATCAGAATGACTTGTCTGTCTGGCTACCATTGCCTCTGCACAAATATGTGTTATATATGTACTATATCAATATTCCTCTTGTACAACTCAGCTGAATGGCCATCTACGTCTGGTGATTGACTAGGCTTTTTCCTCATACCATTGTCTCTTTTGTGAGTGCATCCAACATTTTCACCTGTGCTGGTCAGTATAGAACGTCTAATTTGGAAGGAGGGGGGTGAGAAAAAATATAATGCTTCATATAATGACTATAGTACAAGTGAAAATGTTGGGTAGATGTAGAATATATTGGGAACAAATGCATGCATCTGCAAATAGCCCTAAATCAAACAAAAAGATTAAACTTTTTTTCTTGCCAGGCAAACACGATTCTCTTCATCTGCATACTGATCATCATAATCTCAACTCTTACAAACATGAAAAGTAAATCTCTGAAAATCAAACGACCTGAAAGTGAACATCGTTTCATTGTAAGTGTGGCTCTGAAAACCATGATCCAGTTTATCATCCTTGGTTGCTCCTGGATTCTGGGATTTTTCACACAGGACAGTAAGGCGTTGGAGATTATCTTCCTGTTCCTCAACTCCCAGCAGGGCACCTTCATCTTCCTGGTCTACTGTGTCCTCAACCAAGAGGTCAGCCATCACCGGTTCTACCTTAGCGCTATGGCAAACTGACCCACACACCACACACCAGTACTCTACTGTTTGCCAGTTGTGTTTAGCATATCTAGAAACGGAACTGACAAATCACATGAATGACTATGAATGGGGGAAACATTCCAGACCAGGGCAAATGGGGAAAATATTCTAGAACACTATAAATGAGGGGAGAACATTCTAGATTCAGCCGACAGTTTGGTGGCACCCACACATTTAGATTTACTGGAGTTTGGTGGCTTCAGTTGGGTCAATGTGGTCTGGCTTTTGAGACATATTATGATTTATTATTATTATGTCTCTCCATTTTTGTTGTTTTTATTTAACTTGCTTTGCATAATTTGATGAGCCTAGTTACGCTTTATATTGTGTAATGATAAATTGGCCAACATAATGGTTCAAAATTAATTGATAACAAATCTTATTATATCAACTTCCATTAAAAGTTCAAAAGGTTGTTCTTTCTCCTGTAAGGCTGCCATTTTGGAGAAACAAGATTTTGTTCCAACAGCAACATTTTCTAAGGTGAAACAAGGCTCATTTTAAAGTCCCCACTTTTCCACATCCTTAGTGTCACCTCCCTCTCTTCTTCTTCTTCTTCTTTCAGGTAAGGCAGATGTATATAAAATGGTGGCGAGCTCTCCGTGCTGGCCATATTCCACATATTAATGAAGATCAGCATACCACAACATCGAGGTTCTAGATTTTTACTTTTATGGAGCATCATATGTTGTTTATTCAGGGTTAATGGTTTGCGATTATGTATTGTCTTAGAGTTTTAGTTTTGGGTGTGAGGGTGTGTTCTGTGATGAATCAAGTTCGGGATTGGGAAAGTAAAAACATTATAGCAAAGATACCCTGTTTCATTTTTAAATAATCATTTGTTAAGTTTTCTGAGGCACCAGTCTCTGCTATTGTATGTTTTTTCACAGGTTTATTCATAAAAGTGATCTGGTGTAACCCTAAATTACTTTGTTTTATACAACACTCACTAGCTACCAGTACATATTTACATCAGAATACACATAAAAAAAGGGTTTTGTGTTTTGAATGGTGCCATTGAAGAACTACATATGGAAAACAACTCCAAAAAGGCCTTTTTTAGTCCTTTATTTCCTTTGAAATTTTGAAATATTTCCATTTAATGATTTTTTACATATTTAGGCTTATGTTTATGTTTGTTTTCAGTTCAGTTTCTCATTTGCATGTATACTTTGCTACAGTACTGAAAGGGATTTTTTTCAGCTCTGACTGTTTTTCAGCTCTTTGTTTGATTTGCAAACCAACATATAATAAATAAAAATTATGCTAAATCTCTTACTTTTATCATTTACAAATTATCAACTCACATGCAATAGATATTGATGGCCCACACTATTTTAAAATGTGTCTCCCTGTACATCAGATAACATACTGAACATTGTGAATTGTTTGTTAGAATCTGGTGTGTTCTTGTGTTTCTGAGATTAATTTCTAGAATAAAAAAGTTATTGGCCTTAATAATCTATATCAGAACTGGGTTTATTTAAAGAAAGGACATTTTATTTTCGGTTGGTAACTTTGAATCAGAATCTAAATGGCAATGGTCAGTATGGAGTCCTCTGCTATCTAAGTGCTCCTCTTTGGTAACATCATACAGCAAATAACTAATTGGTTGTTGATCTCTTTGTTCACTAGTAATATCAGACATTTTAATACGCTAGCTGAATGCTTATATGAAAACAACAGACACTGATCTTACACTTCAGAATTGCATTAAAAATGCCACTAAAACAGCATTTTAGATTTAAAGAAAATTTCAAGTCAGAAGCTTCATGTCACAGTCTGATGCTGAAAAGATGATCCATGTGTGACCAGACATGGAAAAAGATAGGTACCCATGCTAGTATGAAATTAGGCAATCCTGGTGCACCACCACAGTCTGATCTATCCAATACTGTAAAAGATATATGAACCTTGTGTAATGTGCATGGGTGTATAAACAAGTGCCAGTGCAACAAAGGGATAATACATTGAAATATGCAATATTCATGGATGTAAACACAAAATGGTAGTGCAGTTAACAAAATGTATGGATGTATAGTGGCAATGCATAGTAATATCAGTAGAGAAATATAATTCCCAGCTGGTGCTCAGTGGCCCTCTCCTGTCAGTGGCTCAGTATTGAATAAAGTCTGGGCAGAGTGACAAGGAGTTGTACAATTGTGCAACTGCTGTTGGTACAAATGATCTCCTGTAAAGTTCCTTCCTACAGCAGAGCTGAATGTGTCTGTTGCTGAAGGTGCTCCGCTGTCTGACCAGTAGGTCATAGAAGGGGCGTGATGCATTGTTCAGGATAGCAGTGAGTTTGTTAAGTGACCTCCTTTTAACCACCACCTCAAAACCATCCAGTGAGCATCAAAAGACTGAACCAGCCCTCTTAATAAGTTTGTTGAGCTTTTTCCCCCTCTGATGCTGCCTCCCCAGCAGACTGCTGCAAAGAAGACAGCATCAGGAACGACAAACTGGTAGAAGACCAACATCTTTTCACACACAATAAAGGATCAAAGCCTTCTCATAATGTAGTCTTTTCATCCCCCTCCTGTACACAGCCTCTGTGTTGGCCCTCCAGTCCAGTTTGTTGTCAAGCAAGACACCCAGATATTTGTAGGTGTCCTCTTACTCCACTAAAGTCCACTACCATCTCCTTGGTCTAGGTCACACTGAGGAGCAGATGGTTCCTCGCACACCACTCAACAAAGCTTTTCACAGGGTTTCTGTATTCTCCTGTCTGTCCATCCCTAATTCCGCCTGACCACCACGGTCATCAGAAAATTTCTGAAGGTGCGACCTGTACTGGTACAGGGTGAAAAGAAAGGAGGAGAGAACAGTTCCCTGGGGTGTTCCAATGCCACTGACCAGATGGTCTCACTGGCAGGTTCCCAGCTGCACATATTGGATTCTTCCAGACAGGTAGACCAAGATCTATGCAATCCATGGGCTTGTCCACCTGCATTATTAATCTTCTGCCCCTGCATGAGAGGTTGGATGGTATTGAATGCATCTGAGAAGTCAAAGATAGTGCTTCTCACTATGGTGTTGTTCTGGTTCAAACAGAAATGTGTCATCCACAACAACCTGCTGTTGATGAGAAAACTGTGTCTGGGAAAGAGCTGACCTAAGATCAGAGATGTGGTGCAACAGTGTCTGTTCAGAAATTGATATAATCAGTGATGCAGTCTGTCATCTTGTTAAGTCTGTGGTTTCAAAGCAGACCTTTGCCTCTGGTCACCACTTCCTGAACTGTTCTCTTTGTCATTGGTTGTCTTATGACAACAGGCCACTATGTGAGCGTTAGTAGAACCAGGTTGTGGTCCAATTTTCCCAATGGAGGCAGTGCAGATGAACTGTAAGCATACTTAGCATTTGAGAAGACCCTGCACTCCATTCTCCCTGGTTGCACATTTAACAAACTGGTGGAACTTTGGTCAAGTGTTGGAAAGTAAAACATGATCAAAATCCCCAGGGATGGCAATGAAAGAGTTTGGAGGCTAAGTCTGAAGTCTCACAATGGCCAAGAGTATGACGTTCCACTCCAATACCGCGATAGCTGCCAACGGAATGTAGACAACAGCAATAACAGTGATCATGAATTCCCTTGGCAGATAGTACTGACATAAACCAACAGCTAAAACTTCAGCGTTCAGGCAACTGACACTCCTTCACAGTCCTATATTGCACCATCCCTTATTCACAAACAATGCAACTCCTTTCTTCCTACTGCTCCAAAGTCCTGATTTAAATCCCATTGAGGTGCTGTGGCAGGTCATGCTTGAAATCACCAAGTTCACCACCCCTGGTTTATCTGGGCAGAAAGAGAAATGCCTAATTCAGACCCATTGGTCTGTGGTCAATTATGCAAGGCCATAGGCCTGCAAGCATATAGACAATGCTTTTATAAGCAGGGTGATTCACTTTCCTGGTTAACACTGATGCCAAAATCTGCATATCCAGAAACCATCTTTGTTTGTTTGTCTGTAACTTATTTATTAAGTTGGCTTAACAAAGCCAAATTGCTGTTTTTTCATTATCTTTTTTTTTATTATTCTATACTTTTTGTACCATTTTCATGGGTCATAATTTTCAAACAAGAACCACAAAACTTTTCACCGTAATTTACATGGGAGCTTACATGGGAATACGTATAGTCACAGTCTAGCCACCACCTTGGACAAAACAAAAAGGTCCTAGAAATACCTTAGCAACCACTTAAGATGACATAGCAATGGCCCAGCAGCACCTTAGCAACCACCTGGGATTCCACAGCAACAGCTTTGTCAAGCTAACTTAAAGTTTTTTCATGAACTTTTCCCTTTAATTTATTAATTTTTAGACTACTGTGTTTCATTTACGTCATCATGTCTGTTTAATTACCAAGATGGTTGTCTCAACCAGATAAAGGTCGACATACCATTGAAACATCATTTCTTTTTTAGTTTGGTGGATTACTCTCATAAAAGGTAAGACCAGCAAACTAGATCTAGTGCTACAGCATCAAATATGGTATCTTTATCCAGTTAGCATGTAGTACCTCCACTGACATGCTGCCTGTATGTACAGAGGTTCTCGCTAGTGCCATCTGTTTGCAGGAGGTGTGTAAGCAGCATAAGCCCATACTTACGCACAGCAGTATTAGACACACCACCAGATAAACACCTGAGAAACAATTTAGAGTTTTTGGTTTAGCCAAAAATCAAATGTTAACAGTTTCTCACTTACGCCTGATTCTGTCAAATAAACACATGTGGAGTCTGACGTTTTCTTCATTAGTTTTGCACTGGAGTAACGAGGCTAATGTAGATGACAAGTGATGGAAGGTTACAATGAAACGCTTACAGCATATAGGCAAATGTATGTACATAATTCAGGCCTCAAGATGTCTGTTGCTACCATTTTTAACTATGTGAATGCACTTTTTTCCATGTTCATGGAAAACAGAATGTTATACAGTGTCACAAATCACATAAACTAGTATATTA